TTATAATTCTTTGTTCCATAAGTTGAAGGCAAGCTCTAGTAGCCTGTTGTTGCTGTCTAAGCTTCACTAGTTCCACCATTAATGCTCGTTTGTCTCGGCTTAATCGATCAACTTCCCCATCCAGTCTAAATGTTCCATCTTCAACACAAGCCTCTAGAGCTTGCTGAGAAGTCTGAGTTTGAGGAGCTTTTCTCCTCCTAACAGTCTTGAGAAGATGTTTTTGCCCTCTGAGAAATCCTTCATTAGCAAACTCCCACCTATCTGGATCAACCTTTCTAAATCCCTACATAATCCAAATTCCATCTTCTTGATCAATTCCAAAACAAAACTAAGTTAATAACCAAATGAATCATAACATAAGTGATACTATATGAACTCTCAACAACAGTATTCGAGAGCTGCAAAGGATGAACAATAATTTGTGTGCAATTATTAGGGGTTTAGAAAGGTTGAGTTTTTCAATGAACTTCCTTTCATGAAATAGTCATAATTTTTTTATAACAAACCAAATGTGGAAACACTGCACATGCTTAACAACCTAATAATAGCATACTGTGGGTGTCTACACACACACACACACACACACGATCTCTGCAGCTCCTGTTTTCAAACTATATATTAAACAAGCAAAATATCTACATTAAGTAACCCATTAAACAAATTGAACAAAAGAGTATCAAATATATCTTTTTTTCTCAAAAGAATAGAAAAAAATAAAAATAAAGCTACGAGCTAGTTTCTAGCTCTAGCTTATTCTTGAATAAGCAAGCAGTCACATCTAGAAAGAAAACCCACGTAAAATTACAGTAATACTAATCCAGAAAAACCAATACCCATCAATCCCTTGATTGTTTTCCCACTTTAAAATAAAGATAAGTTAAAGTTGATAAATCTATAAGGTTATAAAGAAAGAGTACTTACATATGTGTTTAGCTGCCTAACAAAGCTTGAGAAATTGTTGTGCTTGAAGTATCTAGGGAGGAGACTAATGGAAAAGGCTTGGGGATCCCAAACAACAAAGCTGTTGTTGCCTCTACTCCAAGAAATAATATGGTTTGTGCTTGAATCTTCTATTATATCATAAGTTTTAGTGAGAAATGGAGGAGGACCCGGGTCATGGAGTCCCTCCATTGGTTGTGGAATAGATGTAGATGCTATGCCTGATGAGTATGTGCTTGAACTACCACCTGCATACTCCTCCTTGATCGGTCGGCCCCGATGATTCATGATTGGGAAAGTACTGACCTAACTGAGATAGAAAGACAAGATTTGAGGTGGGTGAGCTTCTTCCTTTCTTTCTTTTTTTGGAGTTTACCAGCGTGATTTCTTGTTAGGTAGATTCGTGTAGCCTAAATTGGTATAAAGGCCTAATCTTGAGAAGAATGCAGTTTGGGATAAGTAAGCTAAGTTTGAAAAGCTATTGAAAATGGAAACTATATACATATCACTCCTGATGGCTCATGAAAAAAAATGTTAATCTTGAATGAATCAGAAAACTGAACCTAAGCTACAAAAACAGAGGAAGAGGGCCTGATTAGGACTTAAAGGAAACTTTGTGCTATGATTCTATGAATGATGACTGAAAAACAGAAAGGAGGCAGAAGTAGCTGGGGAATGAGAGACAGATGTAAAAATTAGGCCAGGGGTCGGTTGGTTTTTAAACAGCTGATGAGAGAATTTTTTTCCTTGGCCTTTTTCTTTTTTAAAAAAACTGGGAGAGTACAATAGTCAGCAGGCCGAGTGGGCGACGAGATATTTTTCCCCCACAACTTCTTTCTCCTTAGGGAAAGTCTCGTGCTCCACTTTAATTATGTCAGAACCAAGAACAAAGGAGTTTTAGCCTTATTCATAGAATAGAAATCATATTGATTTACGAAGAGAATTGGAAATTTAAAATTAATATTCTTGCGAGTTTTCATTAGCAATAGAAGGTTCTGGAGTAATTCAAGATAGTTTTTGTCCTTGTTCTTTTTTCTCGGTCTGGTTATGAAATTGGAACTCCATCGGAATGTTCTGGATTTTGCTGGGGAAGGAATAGAGATTTGATGGTGGTGCTTGAGAATGGAACGATGAAGGTCTTTTTTTTTTGTGCACTGTTATCTAATTATATTTTTTATTTTTAAATTATTTAAATATATATTATTTTTAAAAAACCCTTAAAAACAACCTAAGTTATAATCACAAGGATGCTTTGATTGGACAACATGACATGTTTTTTGAGGTTATATATATATATATATATATATATATATATATATATATATATATATATATGGATGAATAAAAGGAAAAATAAAATAAAGAAAAGGGGACATGAGAACCACCTTATATGTCTTTTACAAGTACGTGTTCCAATCTTTATATTAAAAAATAAAAAATAGTGCACCCATGAAACTATTTAATTTAGAATTGACAGTGAAAAAGAAATTAAAGAAAAAGCCCCCCGTGGCAGAACAATCATAGAGCTTCGCAGAAATGAAGCTGAAATATCCATGGGGTGTGGGGATAAATATCTCGCAAGCCAATATTGTTGTCAAGCAGTATTATGGAATCATATATATATATATATATATATATATATGATTATATCACTCCGACATGACAATCTATAAAAATATTTGTTAGGTAATAGTCTTGGCGAAGTGAAAAATGCTGAATCAATACATGAAACTTGAACTTTGGGTGGCCAAATAATAAATTTAAGGTTCTCTTAGGGTTGATCGGCAACCTCACCATTTTTGTATCATGTCGGTAAAGCTCGGCCCCTGGTAACCGTGTCATGCGTTCATTGGCCCAAGTTTATCAATCCAAAAAAGGTCAGTGCAGCTGTCCTGTTCTTTCCTGATGACAAGGACTCTCTTCCTCCCATGATATTTGTCGGTTATGTCATGTAATAAAAAATCAATTCATTTTAAATTTTTTGGAAATATATCTCCAAGTTAAATATATATTGAGTTTTTTTCAAATAAAAACTTTTGTGTGGCCAGCAACCAAAGATTACGAGAGAAAGTATTGATTGAATCCTTAACCGATTAATTATATATTCTTACAATTTGAACCTTATTATATCGTTTATTCCAGTTTATTACTAAAAATAATTGGTTTTATCACGTGAATGCCTCTAAATCCTATATAAAAAAACCGGTTTTTAAGTATTGAATTTTCTGAAATCAACCATCTATTTCATGATTTAAAAAAAAAATAACATGAAAACATAATTAATCATTATTCAAACATTAAATTACCTTATTTAGTAGCATGTTAGGTTTTGAAACATAATTAGCATGCCACTTTCATATGTGATCCATCCATGCCACGAGATTCGTTGAGAAATAGTGGTTTGATAGGGATTCTTTAAGCACATGGTAATTAGAAGATACATTTTTCTGTTCCCCCTCAATTAAATTAATGGACAGGTGTGGGATAGTTGGCCAGCCAGCATCATCCAAGGCACAATTACAAGAAGATATTTTCTAACCTAGCTGACAAGTGGTTCGATTTACAAGAGAACACGTTATGGGGGCTAACGTGTCAGTAAACGCTCGGGAGGATGATAGAACAATGGAGAGAGAGAAGGGTATTAAACAAATGCAAGAGTTCGGAATAAACTATCGAATTAAAGTAAAGTTGGACCGAACAGTTCCTTTCTCGAGAGGCCGGAAGACGAATGTAGAAACAAGAGGAATAAACCCGACACGACCAAATCTGAAGTAGATTTCCACAAAAACAAAAGGAGGAGGAGGTTGACGTTGGCGAGGGGGGCTAATCAAATGTAACTTTTGGATCGAATTATTGCAGCACTCCCTCCAGATCGAATCAGCTTTCTCGACTTCTACCAAGGGAATGAATGTAACTTGGTTTTATCTTATCTCAAAATACTTTCGACAATCTTAACCAGAAACAACCTTCTAAGAAGGAACAGTTCAAGTAAATTTGCTTGTCATGTTTATACGTTCAACAAACAGTCAATTTATCTGAGTCAGCAGAGCACGTAAATGATCGGACTGATTCGATATTTTACACCCTTTCTTCCTTGTAACCGTTTTCTGTCTGGCAATTCTTTCTTGCTTTCTTTTCGAGAAGGTCAAATCGATTTCTATAACTCACAAGTTCTTTCGAACCGTATTTACAGCTTTACAGACCGTATGCTATGCTAATTTAAAGTTTTATATATTGTTTTTAAAAGGTTTTTCAGTTAAAAAAAATAAAAGTAATGGTTTTTTTATTTTTTAAAATTAACATATCAAAACAATACAAAAATAAAAAAATAATTTAAAACAAAACAAAATCAAGATTTAAAAAAAAAGCATGAGCAGCAAAAACAAACACACACTCGAGTGTCGTTTAAAAAACGGGCGTCCCCTGTGGTTTTGGTCTGAAAAAAAAATAATTTAAAACAAAAAAAATCAAGATTTAAAAAAAAAAACATGAGCAGCAAAAACAAACACACCCTCGAGTGTCGTTTGAAAAACGGGCGTCACCTGTGGTTTTGGTCTGAGAAGGTGGTTGCAACCGCAATCTTAAGAGGTCATCTGACAATTATGCAGGCCGTGGTCTATTATGCCTTCAACCGGTTGGATTTTAGCACATCAAATGTAAAATATTGTATAAAGTGCTAGGGCCTCTTTCTTCTTTCCTGTTTCTGGTTGAAATTCGATTGGCATTTCAACTCTCCTCTCCATTGCTCTCTTAGGCTTCCCAGGTTTCACTAAACTGAAATCAATCTGTATATACAATCTTCTTGTCGTTCGCTGTTTTCTTGCAATGTTTTTGAACAGCCTGAGCGTCCTTTCTTTTTAGTTTTCATTGCCTTTCGGCTGTTGTTTTTTCATCTGCTGATTCTATATTTGTATTGTTCTCAATGATGGCTTATATGTACTCTTAAATCTTAACTTGGTAATGCTAGTTTTTTAGGCGTTTCGTACCTGTATTGCCAGCTGATATTTTTTATAATCTCTAATGGTTTGTTTCAAATTATTTATAAATGAGTAAATTTGGAATTTTATCAAATTAAAATATTTTATTTCAAAATCTTAATATTTTATTTGGTAATGCCATGTCTTCTTTTTAGAGAGGGGGCTACCAAAACCCGAATAATCATTCCTTTGCAAATCATCCGCAAACATGAAGCAACTACGAAACTACATGAGCACTGGCCGTGACCATAGGGCGAGGATAGCAGTTTTACGACTGAAGCCTAGTTCCCGAAGAAATGGGATGATGAAACAGAGGAGTTTTTCCCATTCTTCCACAAACAAGCTCTCTTGCATATGTTTTGTTATATACCACTTGATATAGTCATCTTGGTAATGTGAAGCCGTGATGGATTCCATCAAGTAAGACAATCATTCCACCTTTCTTCACCCAAACACGAATCCAGCGGTCATTATGATCCCTAACATCAAAATAACCTTCACTAAGTAGGGAAAGTTAGCGGGCCTGAATTGATAGCCGAAGGGAGAAAGAGCGTGTGTGTTGGTGGGGTAGCCGATCTTACCACTTCCAGCCACACAGTTGCGAATCTCTTCATCAGTGTGAAAATGTTCTTCAAAAATGTTTTTGATCTTCTCTTCATAATTAGGCAGCTTCTCTGGGAAACCTTCACAGAAGTCCTGATGAAAAATTATTTAGTTAAAATAGTTTCTTGAGTGCAATATTTCTAGTTGTCATGTTTACAATGATATGACTTTTGATATACAATTCTTCTTCTTCTTCTTCTTCTTTACTCTAACAACATTCTACAGGATTTAAGAGACCCTAGACTAAAAGCAGATGAACTGTTTTGAAATAATCTTCTTTTAAATCAGATTCATGTCTAGCATCAACAAAAAAAATCCATTTTCTCTAAATCAGATTCATGTCTAGCATCAACAACAAAAAAAAAAAAAATCCATTTACCCAACAGTGCAAAGTTACCAAAAATGTTTCCCGCTTTTCAGCCAACCAAAAAAAAGGGTCAAGAAATGTTTTCCAGTTGTTTTAAGGTAATTGATATACTGCTGCCTTCGAATAGATGGAATAACATGGTAAGCTAGTCAGAACTATAGCAGCACATTTGTATGAACATGCTGAGTTTAGATGACAAACCACGCAGGAATATCCACGCTCTTCACGTATCTTCTTCAACTCTTCATCTGTTTCATAGCCGTCAGCATCAAGCCGCCAACTAAGTACTCCTAAGGCAAGACACAATTGCAAATGATATGCAAGTTACAGACTCTTAACAATTTGATAATCCCATTCAATTTTCACTTTTAAGCAATTCTTACCAGAAAGCTGGTCCAAAGACAAATTCATTGGGCTCCCTGTGATGAGGCAGCCTCGTCTTCGTCACTATCATCCATGTACCATGCTTGAATGACTTCTTCTTTGGGATTCTGCGGAGAGAAGATGCACTATTACCACACATTCATTTTAAGGGGAAAAAAAAGGAAATCATAACTTCACCTTTAAGAAAACCAGGATTCAACATTTCTGAAAGTATGGGTAACCACTCATCACCCACCCCTAACCAAAACAACAAATTCAAACATATAATGTCACTAAGAGCACAGTCCAAAAAACAAGAGAATAACTTCACGCAGACAAAGAGTCCAAAAATTTGCATACGATCTATCAACCATGATATCAAGATCCAACAGCATGTACCAACCTAATGAATTTTTTTTGTTTGGCATCAGTTCTGACGAAAGTTACTACATTAGAAAAGAAGAAATTAGTAAAGATCCAAAAGTAAGTAAGACAGAACCTATTTGTCAATGAGAGGAAGCTCCAACAGTTAGTTAAGATCCTAAAAAAACACAATTAATTCCTTTTCAATTGCTGCAATAAAGGGCAAAGTACTGGAGGAGGAAGATAATGAGGTTGGAACTATGGTTGCCGGCGGGGAAAGGAACCTCATTGTCAAGGTCACGGGTTGAACCTTGACAGACTCTGGTAACGACCAGACAAAACAAGTATAAACACTACCTTAGAGTCTCCGATCCACAGTAGATTAATGAATGACAAGGAAGTAACCATGTACTGATATACAGAGGTACTAAGGTTTCGTCCACAGGCAACTAACATACAAAGCCAACGACCAACTGCTGGTTTAATTAATGTTGTATCCATGAACCACCAAAAAGACTTGGGTCATCTAATTAAAATCAATTAGCATAAGAATTTGGTCCCAATCAATCTAATCCTCATCACAGGACAAGGAAAGTCTGAGTCTCTCAAAATATATATAGCTTGAATGGAATTGACAAGTACTTCATGCTACAAACACTGCCCTCGGAAGGTATAAAATTCCCATATAAAAATCTCTCCCTCAATGGAATTGGAAGAAACTATAAATCTTCACATAGAACAAACCACAAAATCACCTCAATCTCGTAAATTCTCAGAATAAATAAAAAAAAACCCATATAACTATACATAGTTTTTTCAGAAAAAAATCCTCTGAAAAAAGATGGATTATAAGAAGGAAGAAGAAGACGGATGTGAGGATAGCAGCTTACTATGGCCGGGGCAACCATGTTTCTTTTATGTGCTTTCTTTCTTTCTCTCTCTAGTCTGTTTTTACTCCGTTGTAAGTAATCTTAGTGATGAACTGGACGGGATGGGATTGAAAGGAGATGAATAGGTGAAAGACACAATTGACCTTATCCATTTGTGGCGTGTGTGGTAGCTACAATTTAGAAATAATTGTTTGGAGATTGCATACGCCCAGGTCAATAGAATCTACGATTGAACTTATTGGGCTTATTGCAGTCCTTGTCAGTAAGGGAGCCCTGACTTGCGGAAGTAAGTGGACTTAGAGTACATTTATTTGTGTGTTATAAAAATATTTTAAATTTTTTTATTTTAATTTAATTTTTCTTGTGTTTTTATTATTTTGAGGTGCTATATTAAAAATAAATTTTTAAAAATAAAAAATATTTTTATATATTTTTAAAAAATAATTTAAAAAACAAGAATTACATCACTGGCAAACGAGAACTCTCGTAGCAATAACAGAAAATCCCATGCCCTGTTGAAGCTTTGATTTAGTTTATAGAATTGGAAGGAGTACGAATAAAACAATTTCTTCAAAAATTCAACTTGATTAATTAGAATGCCTTGCGTAAGTTTATTCAGGATCTTTCTTGAGCTGTTCTCTTGCTTGATTAATATTTTTATATATTACTGTTTTTTATTTAAAAATATATTAAAATAATATTTTTTATTTTTAAAAAATTATTTTTGATATCACAATATCAAAATAATATAAAATATCAAAAAATAATTATTTTAAAATAAATAAATTTTAATTTTTTTAAAAAATATTTTAAATACAAAAATAAACAGGAACTAAACTTGACAATGACCACTATATTTTTCTCTGCTTTAGCTGTTTTGTTTTGTTTTTTTGGTTAAAAAACCCAGGGCATTAGATTATGGTAAATCCTAAAAAAATTAAATTAATTTCGGGTTAAATGGTACTCTCACAAAAATAAAAGGTCTGAATTCTCAAATTAGAACATCATCTTTTAGTGTATAGCTACCATCAAAGAAAGACACGTCACATTTGTATTGATCGAAATCAAAGTTCCTGATATCTAAATAAGACAGGTCATAGCACGAGGAGTTACTACAGACCAAAAACTACGATCCTCACGCCATTTGAGCCAGGATGTATTCTCTAGGCTGTAGCAATCAACTATGTTAGCTATCCATCGAACCTTACTGTCACTTAGCATATACCCAGAGAACTATCTGTTACTGTGATGCTCCGGATACGCTGTGGACGTGAATCGTGCAACCTCCTGGGTTCTTGCTTTCTAGAAATATGAGAAAGCGGAGCGATCACATAGGATGGCTAATAAGTTGATTTCGAATAAATTCTGGCCTTGATACAGGCCCGCGATTCAAGAAGTTGTGTGGTGGGTTCTCCACCATCTACAAGCCCAGAATGAAAATGAAAGCACGTCATCCGAAATTCCTTCCAATTCTTGCCGTACAGATACACAGAAAATCAGACTAGAAGGATTTGCAGAATCCTCTAGTAAAATGATAGCATTGATCCTGCAGAGTGCCCGAGTATGAAGTGTCCCTTTCCATTTTCTAAACCCGATTTATCCAATCCAGTATCTAAAAAGGCAATGGTTGCTTGCTGCCAGATTTGTCCCGGTCACCGGTGGTAGGTCCACTGTTCCACACCAACCTGTTCTCGAGCTAGAGTCCGCGAGAGCGTCCACAATATCATTAAAGAAGGCCTGGTTTGTTGTTCTTGGATTGCTCTGGTCGAACGTCAGGCCTATGATGTAGCCTATTCCATGAATTAAATTGTCTAATTGTTTCATTTTTCTTCCACATAAAAGCAGAAGTAAATTAAAATGAGCCCATGTTTTGCTACTGTTTTCTTCAGTGCTTCCTAGGAGATTATCTGGTATGTTAACCTTGTAAGTTTTCCCTATAAGACCCAAACCAGAAACCTGAACCGGGCATTTGTAGCTTGAAAGTTCAGAACCTGCCTAGACCAGAAGCGTTAGATGCCGCTGAACAGACCCCCCATTTATTACTGATCAGTGAGAGAGACCCTAGAGATACCAGAACTCCACTGTTAGGTTTAGGCCCGCACATACAGAAAGATCATGGGGGTGGGTTCATTGTAATCCAAACTGGCCTCCCCTTACCTTCTCAATAATTATACCACAACAATAATTTCATCAAAAAAACGTTTTGCCATGTTGTTGTGCTTTGTGGGGACCCCACTTCTGCTCTCTAGGCCCCATTCATATTTATGTGTACTTGTTATGCTCTATCCTCTCTAAAGGGAGAAAAGAAAAGGGTTTCTCATGGAGATGGTTCAATAATTAGAGTGTTTTGGAATTGTGTTTGAAAAGTATTTTAAAAAAAGTTAATTTTTTTATTTTAAATTAATAAATTTTTGATATTTTTAAATTATTTTAATATACTAATCTTAAAAATAATTTTTTAAAAATAAAAAAATATTATTAGCATATTTTTCTAAATAAAAAGTATTTTGAAAAGCAACAACAATCATATTTCCAAACACGTTTTTAGTAAAAGAATCTACACTTCTTAAAAATGCTTTTTTGCACAACACAAAAATTTGTAAGTATATTTTTTTATATAAAAAATTTCATCAATAAAGATATTATTTACTTATTTTTATAGGATAAAATACTATATACTAGATGCAAGAAAAAAAAGTTAAAAATAATTGATTAGACTTTCTTTTAACTTCTAATATCTTTTGTCTCAGTAAATAATACACCATTTTAAAGTATTGTTATGTTTTTTTTACATATTGTTATTCTTTTATGAATTTCAAATATTATTTGTTGTATACCTTGAATCTTAATAAATACATCAATAGGAAATTGCAAACTTTGTATAAATTAAAATGAATAAATTAAACAATTTAAAGTATTATATTTTTTTAATTTTGAAGTGCAGTTAAGATCATATATTAGATAAGTTATATAATTTTTTATAGAGAAATTAAATGTTATAACTATGATATTTAAACATAAATGCATGCTAAGTCAAACTTCATAGGATAGCATGTTGCTGTTATTTATATAAATATCTTTATAGATTAAGAATTTTTAAAGCTACGATTCCATAATAAATAATTTTTTATTTGTTAGAAAGAGTTTAAATAAGATTATATTTCTTTTATCCATGCTATTGATTTAAAAAATAATCATATATTTTTTGGGCTCATTCGTTAACAAGTAAATATAAAACGTTATACAACGAGGAAGATAAAAATTAAAAATTTAGAATTGTTATAAAATTATGAAATCATAATTTTATAAATTAATTTCACATCATTTCAATTTGATTTTATTATTTTTATACGATAAGAGCATGTTAACTCATAAAGTATTTTACGAGATAACATGTGATCTTGACATCTTCAGGCAAAGGCACAGGGACGGTGAGATGCTCTCACCGTACGAGACAGCACTCCCCATGGTTACACAGGTACGCAACCACACGGGCGGTGTTGTTTCAATCGGAGCACCCCCTTCTTATGGAAATATTACTTTTACTTTTGTCCTCACACTTTATGTCTTGGGGAAAAGTTTTGATGAACCCTCCCTTGTCCTATTCGGACAAGAAGCCGAAATTGAATCTACGTACTTAGATGAAATAAGCAAGCCAAGCTTAATCCTTCGATCATTTGAAATAATAGATTTGTTCAAGTTGCTCTTCCTTTATCTTGATTAACTCTCTGGTCATCAAACTTGAACAAATTTAATATTTATAATGAAAATAATAAGATGTAAATTCATAATTAATTGATTAATAAATTTTTTATATTATATCAAAAAATTATCACAATTTAGAAATTTAAATAAAATCTTAAAAATAATTTTTATCCCCTCTCGTATAAAAAATTCAAGATTTAGTCAGCATCATGTAAAATAATGCAAGATAATTTTAGTGGTAAGATTTTCTAAATTATTCAACGAGATAAAAAGATGTATTAAATGTCGTCTATTTTCTAATTCTGATCTTTTTCTTTATTTTAGTTTTTTATTTTTCAATAGAAAAACAAAAAAAATTTCCTCCTATTACCATTTAGGATTTTTGTTTTCAAAATTGAAAACTGGGAAATGTGTGAAAATCTTAGTTATTTTCTTCATATATAGACAGAAAATAAAAGATTAACAAAATGTATCTGTAAAAGTCAAGTTTCTAGGATTATCTCATTAAAGAAGATGCATAGAGACGGGCAAGGCTGGGATTTGAAAAGATATTAGAAGGCAATTTTAAACATGGAAAAGATTTATAAAGTTGGAAAAGAAGGAAAATTACTTCGAGTTCGTCTTCAAATTCTAGTTGTAGCTTCGAAAAAGATTACAATTATATATATATATATTCCCCATGATTTTAGGGTAGATAGCATACTCATTTAACTCCTCCGAGAATAAAAATAGTAGATGTAGCATTGATGAATTTATCAACTAAAGTAGCCAACACCTGATTTATTAAGCACCTGCTTCATTACTTGATCAATTGGACGCACAGTGATTTTTCGTTAAACTTGGTACTTGGCAGCACCAATAATACACAGGGGGTCGTCATACAATACCAAATTAATTTACCCAGTCCCAGATTGGTGGCATTTTATGTAAATAAAGCAAGGTAACATGGATTCTAATGCTAAGTCACCATCATTCAGGGTCTTACAGACCCCACTCTCACCCCCCCACACTTCCCCCCCCCCCCCCCCCCCCCCCCCCACACTTCCTTTGGCCACACAATGGAACAATGTTTCTCACTTTCTCTAGTCTTTTTGGTATATGTCTTTGACTTGGACTAGTCGCTCCCACAAGATTACACGCAATTTTTTTCTGCAAGAACACCATCCCTTTCTCTCGATCTTTGCTTCTTTACACCGCTTTTTCTTAGCTTTAAAATTCCACAGCTACCCACAATTCCCACGCACGCACGCACGCCCTTGGTTTCTAACTTGCAGCAACTCCACCCTCCGCGATGTCCCTACTACACCCCCGTCACCACTTATCAACACTCACTGCCTTTACTTTTCTTTTATTTTTATCTGCCTCAGCTACAACAGTACTACTCTCCCAGCTAGGTAAGTATATCACTCACTCACTAAATCCAACTTCTTTACTTCGACAACTTGATGATAATTTACTTGGGTCTCTAATTGGGTACCCTTTTTCTTTAATATACAGGCAGTGGATCGCTTCAAGAGGGAGGGGAAGATAAGGGAAAACGAAGTGGGTTACGGTCATTTCCGCGAGTTCTGACTCAGAAGCGACACGGCGGACCAGGTTCTTCACCCCCTTCGTGTAGATCCAGGTGCGACAAGTGCTCACCATGTGAACCAGTTCACGTGCCAATTCAACATGGTTGGCGTATGCCATTAGAGTATTACCCAGAGGCTTGGAGATGTAAGTGTGGCAACAAGCTTTTTATGCCTTAAAGAAAAAAACCAAGAGAGTACAAGAGGCAAATACAGTGAAAAGAACTGACTTTCTAGCTTGCTATGTTACTATGTTGGTAACTGTAGCTACCATTGGCTGGCTATGGAGGTGGGTGCTTTTATGTGCTTATATTATGATTTTGCCATTGGACAGGGAGCTTTGGGAATGTAAGTTGCTGTAGAGGTGAGGTTACTATACCAAGAGACCAGGATACCTCTCTCTTTTTAACGATCCTTTCTTTTCCTTTTTTTTTTTTTTTTTGTTTTCTTCCAACATGCCTTGATGCAAGTTTATTGATCATTAGACATATTGTAATTAAGTAGAAAAGCTGTGAGTAAGATGAGCTTCTTTATAAGAACAGAAGTTGAAACGCCTGAGTTCTTACTCTCTCTCTCTCTCTCACTTGTATTTGTATTACACCTTCAGATATTTTACTGTCATTGAAGTCGACGTATCTGAGTTCAAAGATTTCGGGGAGTCATATTTTTCATGTCACGTGATTACAAAGATTATACTTAATCTCTTAGCTAACCTAGTTTTTATGTACTTACCATGGATTTCAATATACTGTTACTACTAGCTAGAGCTAGGAATTAGACAGCAATAACAACGGTTGCATAAGAAAGAGTTCGGGAACGGGCGTATATGTACAAACGAAACAACCACCACTGTCTCCACCATGCTATTATGTAGCTAACTAGACTAACTAGAAGAATTGGAAACGAGCTGGCAGGGAACATGCAAGATAAAAGATAGGCACCCACTTGTTCGTGTTCTTTAATTTCTCTGCAATCTTATAACCATGATATCTTATAGCCATAAGTTTTCTGCAATCTTCTACTTTTCTCATCCATGATCTCTTTCGCTGTAGAGAGATGCGACAGATTTCATTTCTCTCGAGTCTCCATGATATGGCTTTACTTTCTTCGTGTGGTTTGGTATCTGAAAGTCTCTCAACATTGCTGATTTAAGTACCAAAATTGCCCATTCTGATTCTCCACGTTCTCTCACATTAGGATAAGGAAGGTGTCAGAAAACTGACATCAATTTCGCTTTAAATGAAGTGATGGAAAGATCGGAGAAATTGTTTTTCAAGGTACGATGTATAAAAATATTTTTTTAAAAAAAAATTAGCATATAAAAATAATTAAAATTTTTTTTTTAAAAAAAATAATCAAATTTCTAAAAAAGGTTTAACCCTAATTTCAATTTCAATCGGGATCTAAGTTAATCAATTTACTACCACATTAATTTTTTTTTTATAGATTAACATGGGTGTTTGGACTAGCTTGCACGCACCACGACTAATCCCACGAGTCCTGAAGTTAATGACCATGTAAGCTTCCAGTGGCCATCATATGAGCAACCAAGGACTTGAACCTGAGACTACAGAGGGAGCAAACCCTTTAGTTCCAAGTCTTTATCACTTAGTCACCACCTAAATGGTTACTACCACATTAATTGATATTAAATGTAGTGGCTTTTTTTTTAAATGAAGTGAATGACTCGTTGATTTGATCTTATGGATATTGGTATATATAAGGCCCTTCAAGCCTTTGCGGTTTTCTGAATATTTTTTTTACTTTAAATTAATTGTTTTTTTTTCCTGAATGTAAGCAAGTATCAAAAATACATTTTTTTTAATATATATATATATATGTATGTATGTATATATTATATAAAATAATTTAAATATATTTTTTTAAAAAAATAAAATCTTCTCACTCACATACACACTCTGAAAATTTCAAGCGGCGGGCAATAAATGCTATAGATTAGATGTTCAGTGAAATGAAAAGGAATAAATGTACTTGGTTGGCTTCAAAGGAGAGCGAATGGAATGAACTTATTTCCAGAAAACCACTGCATTAATGTGTACTAGATTTGATTTGTTTCATTTGAAAACTGATGCAACTTCTAAAATAATAATTAATCTGTTGATAATATCATATGATGTTTTATCTTTCCTCATAATGTTTTCTGATTCCGAATTAAATTATTCTATAGCACATGTTGTTAATATGTTACAAGTACAACTGATTATAACTTTAAACATGCTGTAATTTTTGTTTTTTTTTAAAAAAATATTTCATTTTAAAAAAAATAAATTAATATAAAAAATATTTCATTTTAAAAAAATTAAATTAATATTTTGTTAGAGTTATATTTAATTATTTTAATGTAAACATATTATTTATATACACACATTATTTTAATAAATTTTTAAATAATTTTTCACACACATTATTTTAATAAAATTTTAAATAAATTTTTTTTAAAAAAACATAACGTTCAAACAATATTTAAATCTTACATATATTAAAAGTCCTATAGCTTTGTTGTCCTGATCGTTGTCTTATTAAAACGTTTTGGTTTTTATCTAAACTCCCACCGGTAATGAACTTCACACAATAAGTAAAAAATAGATGATCCAAAAGAAACCCTAAACGATTGCCTTTATTTCAATTTCCAAACAATATAATTCCAAAGCTACTAATTCTATGCCTTTGCAATTTTGCCCAGAGTGAAGAATTTTCATCGGCCTGTATCCCACTTGCAGGGCATGAAGTAAAAGTTAATGTTTGAATTAAGAATCAAGATACTTCAGGATTGTCTTTGCACGTGGAATGTTCATTGACTAACTAGAGGACAATTTGTTACCCAGGCTAACCTGAAAGTCTTTCGAAATAGTTCCTCTTTCAAGATATAATTTCATTACCAGCTTCGTTTTCAAGTTTGGCCATGGCAGAAATAGTAATGAACGACCCCACCACACAGTCACATACCCTCTACTGTTGTTTCTTTGCAGCAAGAGGACACTGGAATTACAGGTTGTTTGCGAACAAAACTTCGTCTGAGTGAGATGCACCAAGAATTGTTTCTTTTTCTGGTTTTTGTAGTTTCCACCTCCCTATTTACGGGAACCAGATGTCAAATTCACGAGGATTGCCACCATTTTCCGTTATTTTATTCTGTTCTAGTATTAATTTTTTTATTAATTCTAGTAATAATTCTATGCACATTCATATTTCATATTTCAGAGAAGAAAAGGGTAGACTTCATGTCTTAAGATCTTCAACATGATAATATCATTATCACATTGTCTTAATAATATTGGAGTGTTCTAGAGTATAATAATGGTTGTTTTTCAAAGTATTTTTTGTTTATAAATATATAAAAATAATATTTTTTTTATTTTTTTTAAATTTATTTTTAGCATCATCATATTAAAAAAATATATAAAAAAATAATTTTAAATAAAAAAATTAAATTTTAACCAATCTTGTTTCTACTGCAATCTCAAATAAGAACTTAATATAATTTTCGCTAGGTATGTTCATCCGGTTATAATTATAAAAATATTAGAATTTATTTGTATAACAAATATAGATGAAAATTTAAATTTTCCATCAAATCTACAGAGAGAGTGGTGGAGTGTGGATGGAATTTAAGATTGAACAAGGGTTACTTGGTTATATTGTGCAGAACCTATGTAACCCTCATTTGTTATTCCTTTCTTCAAATGGAGGTTGAATAAATTTTGAATTTTTTATTTAAAAATATTATTTTTTTATATTTTTAAATAATTTCAATTTTTAAGAAGCAACCAAGTAGTTCATTTTACAATCACAGATGTTAATTACTCCTGGTTTCAAGACACACAAGGATGATCTTTATTTGTGTATGAGTTGATTTTATTTATTTATTTAGTGGGAGATCTAGTAAATCTTTCAACTACATGATAAGGAAAAAAAAAAACTTTATTTATTATGTTATTGTAATTGCAGAATTATGGTAATGGAATCTCCTCGCCATCTAACTATCATGAGGGAATCTTTTGTTTGGTTGCATACGCCAGTATCGTTTATTAAATTAAACAAGGTAGCAAGAGAGGGACTGTGAAAAGAAAAGCCTCTCGAACTCTTGCTTTAAAAGGACACCACTGCTACCCTTTAAATCAATCAATCAGAGGGATGATATTTCTAGCAGTTGCTCGTGGAATTTCACCAAAACTTCCACATGATGTCTCGCTCCTCTGTCTGATCACGAGACCTGGCATTATGTTATTCTTTCTTGATGGCTTCAGGAGCTCTAAACTGTGCGCGCATGTTGCAAATATCTAGAATACCCGTGGCCGTTTGTTTCGTGTGAAATATTATAAATATAAATACATTTTTTATATTTTTAAATTTATTTTTCTATGTTTGTTCTCGTAAAATGTTTTATAGAAAAAATAATCAATATAAAATATTTTATAATCAGATTCTAAACTCAGCTTTTTTATTAAAAAATATTTTCAATTCATTAAATATAAAATATTTCATTAATATTATTTTATTTACAATACCATTTAACGATTTCAATCATTAAAATCTATCTCCCCAATATAATTTTCATGGCCTCTTTCTCTTTCTCCACCACCACCGTGGCAACCTCTTCAACCATCATTATTGTCATCTCGCCACCACCATGTCGCCACCTCAATCATTGCTCACCAACACCTTTTCCAGTACTTTCACCATCATCTTCTTCATCATTTCTTTAATGTCATCACCATTTTTTTTTCCTTACTTCACCACAGTCACTACTGAAAAATATTTACATGTAAAACATTCTACAGTAAAATGTGTAAAATATTTTCCATTCGTAAAGTATTTTATGCGAAACAAATGACCCTGTCAATAATTATTCCAGAAAAAAACACACACACAAAGATGAGAAAAACTTATTTAATTTTTTTCCAAGCATGTTAAATTTTTTTTTACAAAATACTAATAAGGAATAATTATACTAACCATCTTGTATCATAGTTCACTTTTTTTCTTAACATGATATTAATTTATTTAAAAAAAATTACAGTTTACATATCATAACTTATAAATTGCATAATATTTTACATCATTACTAGTGTGCATAAAAAAAACTAAATTATTTACAACAACTATTTCATTATATTTTAAATAATTATTAAAAAGCCTATGATAAAATATCAAAATTGTTACTAGTAAGAAAAAAAACTATAAAAAAGTTATTTTTTCGGAACATAAAACCCTAATCAGTAAATTGTTTTTCTAAGATGCCTAGAGGTTTACATTCTCAGCAAATTCTCTAATAACTATTTCATTGAGATCCTAATAAAAGTGAGAAAAAGAAAAACCAAAAGTCTGGCTCAATAATGCTTGCATTAAAGTGAAAGCATCGCCCCTGTGCGGACCCCTCATTGCTCTTTCTACAGTTGCTAGGAACAGTTTTGCTCGCAATCATGCAATCCATTTTTGTCTCTGTATTGATGGTAACAAATCTACGTCTTTGGGTGTTTCATCTTCAACCTCACGCAATAGTAGCTCAGGGGTCTTATTTTGGTGGCTCGAGTCCCAAACCACACAT